TCTCTCTCTCTCTCTCTCTCTCTCTCTCTCTCTCTCTCTCTCTCTCTGTGTGTGTGTGTTTGTGTGTGTCTGTGTGTGTGTTCATGTCTCTTCTTTTGTAATCTTACTGTGTATCTCTCTCTGAGTCCGTCTTCATGTTTCTTGGTCTCCATATATTTGTCTGTCTGATTCTTCCCAAGTCTCTTTGTATCTCCACTGTCTCTGTATATCAGTATTTCTCTGAGTTTTCCATATGTCCTTGTGTGTCTTTGTCTCACTCTATCTTCATAAGGTTTTTGTTGTTCTTGTTTTGTTTTTCTTTTTGAGACTGGATTTCTCTGGGTAACTGACAAGAGCCATGTAGGAAAGGCAAGCAACTTGAGTTTTCTGGTGATGGCCCACTGTTTATGTGGCTGCAATAGGTGTGCTCTGAGAGGCATGGACCCCAGAAACTTCATTCCAAGATTGCTTCTTGCTGCTGATATGTCTTTTCTTTCTTTCTTCCTTTCTTTCTTCCTTCCTTTCTCTCTTTTTATTTTGAGTCACTTATTAGCCAGGCGGTGGTGGCGCACGCCTTTAATCCCAGCACTTAAGAGGCAGAAGTAGGCGGATTTCTGAGTTCGAGGCCAGCCTGCTCTACAGAGTGAGTTCCAGGACAGCCAGAGCTACACAGAGAAACCCTGTCTTGAAAAACAAAAACAAAAACAAAAAAAAACAAAAAAAAACAAAAAAAAAAAGTTGCACTAGGAAGAAAGACTATGCTCAAAACAATTAATGATCAAGAAAAAAACATTCATTCTAGGTCAGGTCCAAGGATGAGGCCACAGGTGTCCACTAGGATAAAGCAAGGCCATGTGAAACATTGTTTTGAGCTTATAATGAACTCATAGAATGATACATTACTTTGAACTTATAATCTACATTCTGCTGTAACTCTCTTTTGTGTAACATTTTATCTGCAGGGTAATTTTATAAAGAACTTTTGTCTAAGAAGTCTATAGAAAGGCTGAGAGAAAAAATAAAATGTGGCTGTTGGGGCTCTACTCCATCCGTCAAATGTGTATATGTATATATATGTCTGTCAGTATAATATGTATATATGTCTGCTGACTATATGTATGTATATGTATATATGTTTGTCTATGTGTACATATGTACAGATATTTGTTGGTATATGTGTTTGTATATAAGTATGCATGTGCAATGTGAAATGAATGAAACTGGTGTTCCAGTCTGGCAGAATGTGCGTGTGTGTGTGCATGTGCATGTGTATGCAAGCATGTACATGACTTTTTCTCTATCCTTTTCTTTCTCACTGGCTCACAAAAAGTTATTGAGCCCTAAGCTCCAGTGAGTGGCCCCTGAGTTAGAGTAAAGAGCTGAAGTAGTGGGCTGGAGAGGTGGGTTAGCTCTTCAAGAGGTCCTGAGTTCAATTCCCAGCAACTACATGGTGGCTCACAACCATCTGTAATGGGATTTGATGTCTTCTTCTGGTTTGGCTGAAGACAGCAACAGCATACTAACATATATAAAATAAATCTAAAAAAAAAAAAAAAAGAAGGCCGGGCAGTGGTGGCACACGCCTTTAATCCCAGCACTTAGGAGGCAGAGGCAGGCGGATTTCTGAGTTCGAGGCCAGCCTGGTCTACAAAATGAGTTCCAGGACAGCCAGAGCTATACAGAGAAACCCCGTCTCCACCCCCCCCCCCCCAAAAAAAAAAAGAGCCTAAGTAGTTAAGTCTGTTTTACTAATCCCCTTTTGCTATCAGCAGGAGTCAACTGCCAGAAGCCATCAGCTCTAGTCCCCAGAATTGTAAGAGAGTCAATTGCCAGAAGTCATCGGCTTCTGTGCCCCACCTCAGTATCTGAATATCAAGGCAGCTCTGGAAGTCTTGGAATTCACTTTGTAGACTAGGATGGCTTCCAATTCAAATAGTTTGGCCTGCCTCTGGTGCTCTCTCCCACCCCCACCACCCACCCCCGCCCTCCTCTGTGCCTGGAACTAAAGGCATATGGCGCCACGCCTGGCCATTTTCATAGTGTGTCTTTGTGCCTGTGTAGATAGACGTCTGCTTTCCACCTCTCAGGTGATATTAAATGCCTGTGGTACACCTGGCTTTTGTTGTTTTAGACAGTCTCTCTTATTTTCTGTGTTTATAGACTCTCTTCACTTTGGGTCTTTCTGGAACAGAATGTAATGGAAGGGGCTGCTGCTGGCAATAAAGGGGCTTAGGCTCCTTAGGGACCTGGGAGGGACAAATACAAAATAGGGTCTGGCCAGGCAGTGGTGTACAGTCTGCCCGGAACTTCACTGAGTACTTCTTGGACACCATGCCTAGACCTCCAGCAATGTCTAAAAGGGCTAGTGTGATCCCTCCCTCAATTCTCCCTCTCCTGTTATATCTTTCCCCCTTTGAAGCCAAGAAGTTCAAGTCTCTCACTTGAACTTCTCACTTTGTCAGGAATACAGATGGCCTTGGGAGGAGGTCTCTAACACTCCTAAGGAGCCATCCTCTCTGGCTTAGAGCCTTTGGGCAGTGCTGGGTCTGACTCCTAGGCCATGGAAGGGATACAGGCTCTGTTCAAGGAGCCAGTTTTAAGTCCTGGGAAGTGGTGGGGCTTCACTCATCATGAGCAGCTTTTGGCCCAAGAATGCTGGCACCTGGGTAGAAGAGCTGCTTCCCCTCACAAAGTGAAGCCCCATATACCGGGTATGATCTAGCGAACAATAGCCATTCTTGCTATGTCAGTGGCTTCCTGAATCCTTCCGACTCAATATGTGATTAGCAGTCTCAGGGAGAGTCCTCATGGCAGTGAGGTAGGGAGGTAAAAGGTACAAACAGAACAGGTAATGACCACCTGGGGCCTGGGCTAGCCTACATGGTGGGTTTATAAGGGCCATCAGCTTTGTCCAGCCCAGAGCTGCTTTTTGTCTTGAGAACTGTGCTGGGACCTAGGCAGGGTCAGAGCTGCATAGAAGCAAGCACCACAGAGGTCATATTGTTTCCTCTAGTTTGTGTACATTTGTAGCAACAGGCTCTTGACACACAGGCACGAGGCTGGTGTGCCAGTGCCACAGCATCCAGGTTTCTAGAGGCTGGAAGACATTTTTCTGGCTTACAGCTACCTCTTGACCTGGATCAGGTAATTGGATGGATGATGGGTGAGGGACAGGTGGCCTTCCTCATCCCCTTGCAGCAATGGGAATCTGGGACTTCCACTTTGGTCTCAGGATCTTCCTGATGACAGTACAAACTGACTTGAGGACACTCCTCTGAGAGGCAGCCAGGCCATAGTCTTTGGCCTTGGTAGTCACTGGTCTATCCCAGCTTTGAGCACTACATGTGAACTCTTTGCAGAGGTGATTGTGCCTACGACTCTTAAGATACCATGTTGTATTGCTTTAGAGTGGGCCAGGTGCCCACCCCAGGGCCATGGTGCTATCAATTAAGGTAGGAGTATCTCTTGTAGATAGGGTGACCTCTGGAGATGCCCTTGAGTTGAGCCAGAATAAAACTGCTACTTAACTCAATTTTTTTAAAACAAGTTTATTTATTGAAAGAATCTGAAAATAGTAGTAATAAGGCCTTCATTAACAATTAACAAAATTTTAAGATATTAACAATATGAAACATTAAGAATTTACGTGTGAAAACTCCATGTGTTCTAGATCAGTCTGGTGGCAGCTGCTTCTAGATTTGCCAACACTTGCTTTTTTGATGCATGACCTATGCTTCAGACCCTGCTCTCCTCTGGATCATAGCAGAGGCCTGCTGTGCTCAGTCACAGATGAACAGCACAGACAGAGGGGACAAGCCACCATGGCTTAACAGCACTGAAGCCAGACCACTTAGGGCTCCACGGGTGCCCAGTATGGTCCTGACTTTAACAGGTAGAAGAAAGTTCAGTGTGGTTGGTCAGTCCTACAACAATTGACAAACCTTTCCTAGAAGTATGAGACAAAAGCCTGACTCCACCTCAAAAGCCAGTCAAAGAATGGGCAGTCCATCCTTCCTACTCCTGCTGTTAAGAGGTGACGACAAAACTGAAAGGAGATACCTAGCTGAGGTGCCGTGGTGGACCACTGACTCCACAAAGGGTCCAGGGCCTGTGTGGCACTCATGTGCTAACATGACTTGCATTACATACACGCATCACACATAGGCTCCATATGACTGCTGCTCAGATGGAAGGAGAGCAGGCCCACAAGCCTGGTGTCAACAGTGAGCTGGTCTCAAAACCCTTGTGGCCACTGTGTAAGGGAGGAGTGGAAGCACAGAGCCCTGTCCTGGACACAATGTAAACACTGGACAACAGGCAGTCCCCTCTAAATCTTCACAAAGTGTGTACAAGAAAATATGTACATAATCACTTCAGAAAGTTTAAAATAACCTTTAAAAAGTGTATACAGGATTTAAAATGTCCCCAGGAGCTGCTGCCCTGTTGTGTGAGGAATGTGAGGTTGCTGGATGGCTGTGCGAAGTGTTACCTCTGTCTGCTCTGGAAGGAGTCAGAGGTCTTGGGGCCAGACTCAGAGGTACCTAGCCATCTCCAGAAACACAAAGAGCAAGGTTGCCTTGCCAACCCATAGCAAAGCTGCCAGGGGGAAAGGTACAGGCCCTGGGGAAAAGCATTGCAGTTAAAAGAAGATTTCTGGCTGAGACATTTATTTCAATATCAAAAGGAAGATCAATTCATTCTGACCCCCTCAGAATTTCAACAGACTGATTTATGGGAATTCCTGACCTGGGAATCTCAGGGGGGATGTGGGGGTCCATGGGAGAGATGTAGGACACCCAGCCCAGTTATCATTTTGCTTTTTTAGAAATGAAAAAGAGGTCTAAAAACATTAAAAAGCTGATCTGTTCTGCAAAAGGCAGACCCAAGCTCTCCCAGCAAGGCAGGCAGAACAAAGACGCCTGGACAGCCATGTGGTTTGTCAAGGCCAGGTCAGCCAGAAGGCCAGCAGGAGAGCAAGAGAAGGAAGGCCCCCAAAAGCTTGAGGGCCTGATCAGGTTGGAAGCTGGGAAATGTAGCCTAGCTGTCCTCCTCATCCTGGTCCTCCTCATCTTCTGGAAAGTGAGCTTGCTTCTTTCGAACATTCCAGTGTAGACACTGGGCAAGGCTCTCGAACCAGTCACTCACAGGGTCACAAACACAGATGGAGGGCAGTGGGTAGCAGGAGGTGGTGATGCTGATGCTTTGAAGGGAAAGAGAAATAGGTTTGGGGAAGCCAAGTGCCTTTCCAAGTAACAAAATGCTCTCCCTATGCCAAAGCTCTCTCCCAGGGCCTCAGTTTGTCTAAATGCAAGCAGCTACCTTGGATTCTTAAAAGGGGTACATAGACACAGGCTCTGTCCCTGCTACCACTGTGCTGATGGCCTGACTCCGGGTCTCTGACTCCAAGGGATCTAGGCAACTTCTCCTGGAGCTGAGACAGGATGGGGATTGGTGGAAAACCAGGCAAAGACATAAGCAGCTCTGCTGGCCCATCCTAGGTCTTGTGGTAGACCACACTTAGCTGTTGAACAGCACATCCACACATCCAGGAAGATGCAGGGGCTAGCTTGAATAGGTGCAGCTGGGTGTTTCTGAGGCTGTGCAGTGGTGGGCTCATGGCCAGCCATGGACCTTTCCCCTTTAGGTACTGCAGGTTGTAGGCAGCACCACAGCCTTGCTGGACATGACTTACCCTACATCTAGGCTGAGACCAGTCCTGTCTTTGTGTGTTAACAAGAACCAAGGAACAGGGGCTTGCTGCTGCGAGCCTACTGCATCTGTACATGACCATGCTTTTGTAACAGGCCACCACTAGTGACTAATCCCACCTGATGGAAGACATGGACTTAATCCATGCCCCAGCCTTGCAGTTCCAAACCTGTCTCCATGGCGGATTTCCTGTCTCTTTCGTCCATCAAAAGACACCCATGCTGTGTTCCTGGCTTCCGGTGACAGCATAATCTAAAGGGGTGGAGAAGAAACAGAAGTGGGCCCCAGGCAGGAAGGCTGTGTTCCCAGGCCACTCTGGGCCCTCCAGAGTTCCTGCTCGATACAGCTTTAGCCTCATTTTGGTGTTCTAAGAATAGTTGCAACCTCCCATACATATGGTCACTAGAACTTACACTGGTAACTAGGTAACTAGCCTAAGTGGCCTGGGATGGAGGGAGGTTAGAGAGAAATGAGGCTGATGGTGGGTACTTGGAAGTCTGCCAGAGACCAGGTCAGAGGCTTTGAGGAGCAGACCAATCAGGAGTCTTTCCTTACATGGAGACATTTATGCCATGCCCTCCCAATGGGGACCATCCCCATCTCTTGCAACTCAAGAGTCCTGCACAAAGGGCAGGGCAGCTCTCTGTGCCATCAGAGATCATGGACAGATGCAAAGCTCTTCTGCCTTAGGTTCCAGGTAGGGCTCACATGTGAGGGTGCTGGGAGGTAGACTCTGGAGGTGGCAGGTGCTAAGGTAGTGACAATTGTGTTCTGCTGGCCTAGGGTCAAAAGACTCACAGATCAGAGGAGACAGAGAGGGACTGCTCTGACCTTCAGCTCGACCCCTGCAGGGACCACGATAGGCCGGAATGACAGCGAGTGGGGGCAGATGGGTGTAACCATGATGGCCGGCACGTTGGGGTGGACCATGGAGGCCCCGGCTGCAGCTGCATATGCTGTGCTGCCCGTCGGGGTGGACACGATCACTCCTGGCAGGGACAGGGTGTAGGCATCATTCTTGGGCCCATGTGGGGTTCGTGGGTCCCTAGTTGCAACATGGAACTCACCATCGCCCTGCACAGTGGTGATAAGGTGTCCATCCAGGTAGACATCCACGTTGGACAGATATGAGGAGGGGCCTCTGTCGATCACCACTTCATTCAAGACCTGGAAAAGATGGAAGGCCATGGCACTGCACTCAGGGAGCAAGGTCACAGCTAGTGTTGCTATCAGAAGCACTGAAGGCTCACCACAAGTTTCTCAATCTGGTGTCAGGAATTCCAGACCTGAGTTCACCCCACCCTGGTCCCCTCCTTGGGAGTTGAAGTTAGGCAGCTGGGGAATTTTCCACAGACCTGATATTGCATAGCCTGTTTTCCGCCCTCTGTGTCTAGACCATTTTCACTGAGGCCGTTGTGGATGGCTGTCTTCTTGTCTCTAGGCTCTTTCACCACTCTGACCTTCAGCCGGCTCCTCAGGATAACAGCGGCATTCCCTGGAGTCAGCAGGGTCCAGCTCAGGGAGGCTGGGGCCACCTCCAAGGAAGCTGGGACCCTTCCCTTTCTAAGTCAGTGACCATCAGTGCCTTTTATCAAAGCCACCCAGAGCAGCCCATGTGCTGCTGGACTTCCCACTTTAGTAAGGAGTGTTTGAAACATCTGAAATTTAGAAACTCCCAAATCTTGAAACCAAATCATTAAATAAAAAATATTAAAAAACAAACAAACAAACAAACAAACAGAAGCATAAAAAAGCCCAAAACAAAACAAAACAAAAAACCCAAGGAGGCCAGAGACATGACTCAGTGGTTAAGAACACTGCCTGCTTTTAAAGAAGACCCAGTCTCAATTCCTAGTTCCATATGTTAGGTAACAACTATCTGTAACTCCACTCCCAGTGGACCCCACATATCCAGGGGCACCAGGTACACACACAGTGCATAGATGTACTTGCAGAAAATACCCATACACATAAAACTGAAAAACAAAATAAACCCCACAACAACAACAATAATCAAGTAGGAAAGAAACCCTGAACCATTTTGGGAGACCCAGGATGCTCCAACTTACCCTCTATCACCTGATTCACTTGGGATTGGAAGTTCTCAAAGTTGAATGGGGTCAGAAAGCCCAGGGATCCAAGGTGGAAGGCCATAACAGGAGGCACACTGCCCTGTGGGTGAGGAGACCAGGTGGCATCGTCGGACTACCCAGGAACCACCAAACTGTCAATAGCTGCACATCGTGGGGATGGGTGGGCATGAGCCAAGCAAGAGGCAGAAGAGCCAGAGCAGGGCAAGGCAGGCCATCTCCCAAAGCAATGAGAAATGGGTGGGGAGGGCCAAAAAGAAACAAAAGCAACAGGACCCGACCAGTTCACTGGTCACACAGCAAAGATCTGGCCAGTACCAGATACAAGGCTATGACTGTGGCGACCATGCCCGTAAGGCTAGAAGGTAGGCAGACTTGGCAGAGACCTGGGGGATGGAAGAGGAAAGTTGGAGATGGTTTAGGCCCCATCTAAATACAAGAGGGGCTGAGCATAAAACTAAGGTTTAAAGTATAAATTGCCTGTAGTCCTTAGACAGAAAGTTTAAAGTACAAATTGCCTGTAGTCCTTAGACAGAAACTTCTGCAGCAAAGTAGGGGTGACATCTTGCCAGAACCCCAACCCCCACTCCCATCTGCAGCTCCAAACAGCTAGATGGGCTCTGCCCTGGCATCTCACCAGAGGGTACTGATCACCTCCATCCCACTCCCTGCAGCACCATGCCCACTCTTCTAGCATACCACACAAGGTCCTACCTTGCTGAGGGTGAGGCCAGAGGTTCCCTTGCTGCCCTTACCTGTCTAGGGCTTTGGTTTCTAGACTACTTCTGCAGTGCCAGGTCTGTAGCCATGTAGTCACTCTTTAGGAACCTAGAGTTTCCCCACACTCTCCTTCCTCACCCACTCCTGACACTGACAAGGGCATGCCCACTTGAGTTCTATTGAAAAAAAAAGTCTCCATCTCCATAGAGCAGTGGCTCTCAGTCTTCCTAATGCTGCAATCCTTTAATTCAGTTCTTCATGTTGTGTTGACCCCCAACCATAACATTATTTTTGGTGCTACTTCCTAACTGTAATTTTGCTATTATTATGAATCATAATGTAAGTATCAGTGTTTTCCTATGGTCTTAGGTGATCTCTGTGAAGATGCTGCCTTTGAGTAAGAACACCAAGGAGCTTGTGGCTTTCTGGTATGAAGCTATGTGATGAAGAGTACGGATACTTACACTGAAAGCTCCTCCTCACACTGTACCCAAAATACCTCAACACCCCAAAACATAGCCTTACCTGGAAAAGTGAGGAGGCATAGAGCAAGGTGCCATCTCCTCCAAGGCATATGATGAAGTCTATCTGGTTGGAAATGTCATCATAATCTAGAAGACAAATACAGATCATGGGAACTGTTGTCACACAAACCTTAGTGCCCAAGTGTGCAGATACCAACAGGGCAGAGTGCTAATGGCTTCTACCAGCCGAGAGGGCTCAAGTCAGCACACCTTCACGGAAAGTGCAGAACTTCTTCTTCACTGGTCCAAAGTTTTCATCACTCACTATAGCAGGGTCTTCCAGAACTTTCTTTTCCACATACACGATCATGTTGTTTTCCTGGAAGCAAAGAATACATGGGAGCCCCTGCATAGCCATTCAGGCCCTCACCAGTCCAGTCCAGGTCATACTGGCTTTTCCACTTTGGGATGGAGTGAAAAAAAGATGTTTTCCTGGCTAGCAAGTCATTTCCATACTGCTCAGTTCATCGAAATATAGTCAAGAACTCTGCGGCTCAGGGTATCATAGAGGCTGCATCCCAAGCAAGTGCTTTCTAACCCAGTGGCTCTGGGTTTTGAGGGGGTTCTCAAAGTCATATACTGAAGGGCAACATGATTTTGAGGTGCAACTTTAGCCTTAGATGTCCAGAGGTGGCACCTCTGGGGGTGATTAGTAGTAAAGCCATCAGGGTAGAGCCACACCACTGCATTCTTATGGTTTTATGGGAAGAAGGAAAGGCCAGAAGGTATTTGCACACATATTTAAGAACATACTATCTCTTGCCAAATGCTGTCCTATGCTTTGGGGCTATGCAGGAAAGATGGCCATTATTTTCAGAATCACAGGCTAAAATAAACCTCTTTCTTAAAACTTACCCAGACAGGGGAGATGTGTTATTGGCAACATTAAAGAGACCAAGGTGAGGGTTAAATGCTGCAAGAGGACTCAAGAGGTGGTGTGTTGGAGGGTCTGAGGTCAGGAGGTCAACTTGCTCATGAACAAGTGACACAGTACAGGGCTCTTGCCAGATGCAGCTCATCCACCAGGGGTTTCCTAGCCACGGGGACTATAGGTAGCAAATATTTTTCAGAATGCTTCAGATATCTAAGTAAATGGCCTTTTGAGCCAGGCAGTGGTGGCACACGCCTTTAATCCCAGGACTTGGGAGGCAGAGGCAGGCAGATTTCTGAGTTCAAGGCCAGCCTGGTCTACAGAGTGAGTTCTAGGACAGCCAGGGCTATACAGACCCTATCCTGCTTGCCTTACCTCCATGAGGTATATGCAGAGCTCCTTGAAGGGCTGCAGTAAGCTGGCATCTCGGATCTTTTTGATGACAAGCACACTCTTGGGAGACTTGTTCCATGTCAACCGTTGACTTGCAGGGTCCTGGATGTGCCTTTGGAGAGAGAAGAGAGCTCATATCAACAGTTGACTTTTCCTTGAGAAGTTTGGAAAAATAAAGATAGCCACAAACCACAAACAAGTAAAAATGCATTGCGTTAGCAATGGTTCCCATCAGGAATGGCTGTCAGCCAGCCTACAGCCACGTACTGGGAACACAATGGTTCCAGAGCAACTGTCCTTAGCTGCTAGTAGACCTTGAAGACACACCCTACTCAGCCACTGTCCAGGTGACTTTAGCCATATCCCCTTGGGCACCCTGGTTGCCAACTGTACCTATAATCACCTTCATAGGCCAGATCACATGTATTGTGTTTATTTCCTTACAAGGAGACTCCTTGTAAACCAACAGAGACGAAAGCCTAGGCTATCTGTCAGCCCATAGAGGACATCTGTTCCTCACAGAACCTAGAACAGCTGGTTTGAGGACTCTGTCCTGGGGTCTACTATGGACTATTTCCAGTCCCAGAACCCTTCAGAACATGTGTTTCCTTTCATGTACCTGGAGGTTGTATGGCTGAGTCTTAGCTGGGTCTTATTTATTAATTAAAATCAATATAATAAATATAATTAATAATAATAAATTTTTTTGAAAGAAGTTCTCATTATATGACCTTGATTGGCTTGAAACTCAGATAGACCAGGCTAGCCTCAAATTCATAGAGATCTGTCTTTGCCTCCTGAGTGCTGGGATTAAAGGCATGACCTGGTACCATGCCTAGCCCAGTAAATCTTCATTTCGGAAGTACCTTTTTTCCTGTCCAACAACAATTTCCCAAATTATAAAATGTGTTCTAGCAGTGCGTGAGAACCCACAACCAATCTTCAAAATGATGACACAAACTACTGAAAGCAGAGGCCACCAGTGGTCAAAGCACTCACCTGTTCCTGGCATTTCTGGGAGGGGAGAGGCCGCTCATAGTTGCCTCTCTGAGCCTCACCACCTGCCTGAAGTGCTCACGACTCCTGAGGCGGTCTCCACCTTCTAGGAGATAGCAGGTATATCCCCAGCATTGTGTGTTCCCTCACTACAGACACACACAGCCCTGTCTGGCCACCATGCTCCTAGTTGTGTATTACACTGAGTTTAATTTGTGAATCCTCAAAACTGAAAGCAAAATGTAAAAGACTTGTCAAGGTCCCATAGCAGTGTTCTCTCAAGTATGAAAATCAAATAAACAAAAACGTAGACTCCCTTCTGACTACATGGCCCTTTTGCCTCATCATCTGGTTTAAAAACAAAACAAAACAAAAACAAAAACACCACAAGATTAACTCTTAAGAGCAAAGAGGGCCAGTCTCAACAACCTGCTATTAATGAAGGGCCAGGACCACCTGCCTCGCAGGCCCTGGCAGGGCAGTATCCAGGCCGCTGCTGAGAAGTGGGAGCATGGAAAAGGCAGGCCCGCCTACAGGGAGGCGGTTTCAGGCCACGAGCAGGTGAAAGGGCTGCAGGTGAAAGGAGATCACTCCCTGAACTTGCCAGACTCCAGGTTCCAGAGAATGTGGGTGGATCACAGATCTCTGCCCCACCAGAGCTCTAAGCCCACACCCTGTACCCAGCAGCCTATCCTGCCCATGTGTGGGTTATGGCTGCCTCAGGCAGGCCCAGCCCATAACTCTTTTAGCCCCGAAGCTCAGAAGGGTTCAGCATGTGTCACCAGCATTATTATATGCAGGACAAGCCTTCCCTGTGACCACAAACCAGTTCAACTTCCTGATGTGTCATCTAAAGAGAATGGTGACCATTCCAGGAAGTCTGGGATTCAGGTGCCATGTGGAGCTGACAGGCTCCTGGCCTGTCAGAACCAGCTCTGAGTGATCTGCTATGCCAGCCAGGGATGCATGACCACTGTGCCATACAACAGAGACTGACATCCTCACATATTCCCGTAAGGAAAATACAGCCTCAAAGTAAAGTCTCAAATAAGGAAATGAAAATTCCTCATAAGTCCTCCATGCTATCTTGGGAAAACTTGGCAATAAAACTCTCATTTTTATAACACAGGTGCTACGTGTCGCTACACTGACATGTAGAGGTATACAGAGATGCAGGTGACAGAGCTCTACTTAAGAGCCTAGAGCAAATGGTCCCAGGCAAAGCAGAGAAAGATGCCTGTACTAGACACTAACCCACTTGGACTTTCTGACCTCAAAGAATGGCTTGCAGACCACTTTGTGTCCTGGCCTAAATAACTGATATCTAAGTAAAACTGACTGTGGGGGGCTGGAGAGATAGCGCAGCAGTTAGGAGTGCGTACTACTCCCCCAGCATTTGGGAGGCAGAGACAGCTGAATCTCTGAGTTTGAGGCCAGACTGATCTAACAAACAAATCAAGTTCTAGGGGGAAAAAAAAAAGAGAGGGTTGTACACTGCTCTTGAAGAAAACCCGTGTTTAGGTCCCAACACCCCTATCTGGTGTTAGGATTGCCTGCAACTCCAGGTCCAGGGTGTCCAGGTTCTTCTGGACTCTATAGGAAGCTGCATACATGTGGTTTAAGTAAATGCATATAGGTACACACATATATATACCTTATATACCTACATACATACACACACAATAATCAAGCAAAAACTGGCTGCTGGAGAGGTGTTAGGTAAGTGGCAAGTGCTAAGCTGTGCAGGAAGGGGCTACAAGCAGATGGTGGTTGGCAAACACAGGAGACTACTAGGATACTAGGAGGCAGTGGACAGGCATGTGGGCACCAGACCAGGGACATGAAGCAAGGGAGTGCCTAGAGCTCTGGGTGGTGAGGAACTAGCAGACTGCTTGGTGTTGGTGCAATTATGATTGCTGGATGTATGGATAAGGGTGTACAACTTGTCAAGAACCCTTGTTTCCAATGATATACATCTAGCAGCAGCAATAACTCATAACTCTGCTCTGTAAACTCATAGGCATTGAAAAAATTCCCCTCAAAAGCACTAATACTAATATCCCTGTAGCCCTAAAGGCATAAGAACAGCATCATTGCTGGGATTTACAACAACCCTGTGGCCAAGTTGGAAATTTAAGTGCAGTTCCTTGCATGGCCTGCAGGTGGCAGAAAAGCAACGATTCTGTCCTCTCCAAGAGGAAGCTTAGAGCAGGGGTTTCAACCCTTTGGGGCTTACATATCAGATATTCTGCCTATCAGTCAGATATTTACACTGTAGTTCATAATACTAGAAAAATTACAGTTATGAAGTAGCAGTGAAATGATTTTATGGTTGGGGGACCCACAACATGAGGACGTGTATTAAAGGGTAGCAGCATAAGGAAAGGTGACAACCACTGCTTAGAGGGTCATACATAGCCTTGGGTCAGCCTCTAATCCAGACCAGAAAAAGGTACAGCACAGGTAAATGTGTCCTGGCCCAGCCCCATCATATATCACTGCCCTACCTACACTTGCCTAAGAGCAAATCTGAGTGGCAAACCTGAGTATCTCCAACCCACACTCAGGCTAACAAGCCCGAGCACACCTCGCAGGCAGCCATATTTACATCAGCCCTCCCTTTCACACTAACTACTTTGAAGGAAAAGGAAAGCTCGGAACAGATTCTGAATGCACAGATAATGATGGTCTCTAGATGGGGGCAGAGAGAGCCAAACAAAAAACACAAAGGTGGAAGAAATGTGTCCTCTGAGCATTTCCTACTTAGCTACTTATTTATTTAGTGTGTGCCTGCATGTCTGTCACAATGAGACTGTGAAAGTGTGACTGTTCTTTCCTCCCACCACGTGAGTTTTGGACAACTCAGGCTGTCAGGCTTGGCAGTGAGTGCTCTTACTCACTGAGCCATGGCTGGCCCTGACATTATAATTTAGTTGTTGTCTGTCTCTTTCTTTTCTTTTCTCTTCCTTTCCTTCTTTCTTTTGAGACAAGGTTTCTCTGTGTACGTACCCGACTGTTCTGAAACTTGCTCTGTAGTCTGTAGACCTGATTGACCTGGAACTCAAGGGATCTGTCTGCTTCTGCCTCTCAAACCCTGAGGGCTGGGATTAACGGTGTGAGTCACCAGCTCCCAACTACCTTTCTAAAGTACTGGTATCAACCCACGTGAGGGATTTTTCTTTTTTTTTAATTTTTTGTACCCATGATAAAACACAGCTAGATACTTGTGGAGAACACAGGGCAAAACATTTATTCTTTTGTAAATATCCAATGCTAACCAGAATTTGGGTTGACAGAGATATTGATCAAGTGTAACCCAGTAAGATATACTAAATGCTAAGGTCTTGGGGAGCTCGTATTCCAAGGCCAGTGACAAGGCTGTGAGGAGCACACGGATGGGGTGTAGCCAGGGGCAACAACTTGCCTGTCATGGGCAAGTCCTGGTCCCATCTCTAGCATGGCAAACCCACAGTTCAAACATACACATGAACAAAGAGAAGCATCTTTAAAGCAACTAAAATCATGTTAAAAAACATTGAAAATTCATATTTCTACACCTGGTACAATTAAAGGAGAAACCTGTTAGAATATAATTCTCATCATTAGAAATATAAAACTGGGGGCTGGCTGGGTGGTGGTGGCGCACACCTTTAATCCCAGCACTTGGGAGGCAGAGGCAGGCAGATTTCTGAGTTCGAGAGTTCGAGGCTAGCCTACAGAGTGAGTTCCAGGACAGCCAGGGCTACAGAGAGAAACCATGTCTCGAAAAACCCAAAAAAACAAAAACAAAACAACAACTGGGGGCTGGAGAGATGGCTCAGTGGTTAAGAGCACTGGCTGCTCATCCAGAGGTCCTGAGTTCAACTCACAGCAACCACAAGATAGCTTACAACTATCTACAGTGGGATCTGATGCCCTCTTCTGTCATACAAGCATACATGCCCACAAAGTGCTTGTACACATACATACATACATACATCTTTAAAAGAAGGAAGGAAGCAGAACACTAAGTAACCCCCCACGGAGCCTATTTAACCTGTGCAGGTGGGCGCAGTCAGGGGACTGGGTCCCGTGTGGTCACAGTCCTCAGCTCACCATTGCTTTTCTTTTTCTCCCTTATGTGTTTTTGTTTTTCAGACAGAGTCTGACTTTAGACTGACATTTTACTAACAGCTCAAGTTCAGACTGTAGATACTCCTGCCTCAAACTGAGTGCCAGAGTATAGGTGTGTACCAAAACAGAAATTTGCCCTCTGCCTCTGGAAGCCATGGGAGAAACCACCAGCTAAGAGTCTCTACTTAGGAATCTATGAACACAAACAGTTTCTGAAAGATACCTGCTTGGCTTTTGTTTTAAATAACTCAGAACCCTGCACAGGGTAAGCCTACAATACTCCCAAATAACAGCTTCCCCACCGACCCCCCCCCCCCAGTTCTGGTAAACTTACATGATGGTCTGAGGGTTCTGTAGCACGCAGGCCTTTGGTCCAAATGTAGTCACTGGGCACGGCCCATGGAGAGAGCGGGTCCTCCTGTGGAGCACAGTAGGGATTGGTGTCAAAGTAGGAGGGGCAGGAAGCAAAACAGACATGGCCTGTCAGACTCCAAGAAACCCCAATGGCAGTAGCTCCATCATCCTCAGCATTCACATGGCAGGCCCAGCAGATCCTGCCCTAGTCTGGGATGCTGTTCTGGAGCTCACTACTACCCAAGTCCCCTGTGGCAGCAATGAGGCATAAAAGCTGACCTGGACAGGTTCCCGTGGACACTGATCCCAAATCAGAGGAGGCACTGGCCTGGCATGAGCTCAGGACCCAAGGCAGCACCTCTCAGCAGGTCTGTGGGCTATAATCGGGAGTTAAAACCTGGCACCACCCTGAATAATCTAGATGAACATTCTAGCAGAAATATTTGCTCTGGAGCACATGTGTCTATAACACAGATACCAATTGAGCAACCCAGCCTTCCCTCCTGAAAAGTGACCCAGCCAGTTGACATCCAAACAAAGGTTCACTGCAGCCTGCCCTGACCAGGCATAGCAACAGCCAGGCTCCCTATGCTTCTGGGGGATCAAGGCAAAGACCAAGACAGCATTGTGGTTGTTCATCTTGGGACACTCACTCAGGGCTCTGGGGCTTCACTTACTCTTCTTACCCAGAGAAAACACTGAGTCAGCAGAGTTGCCTTCAAACTTACTTTCCCCTTCAGCTACCTGTCTCCAAATCCACAAAATCTTCCAATGCTGATGACGCAGATGAAAGACTGCCCTGCCTCTGGGGGAGCAGGCAGTGTCCAGGGTCATGGAGCCTGGCCAGCCTGGCTAGCTGACAACTGGAGAGAAGTCCAGTTGCTGCAGGCCTTTCTGAACTAAAGAAGTGCTAGAATTTTACATAAAGCTTTTCCCTTTTTTTCTTTTTTATAACAGGCCTCCCAGTATGGCCCAGACTGGCCTTCAACTTGTGATTCTCCTGCCTCAGTCCTTTTTTTTGTTTGTTTGTTTGTTTGTTTTTTTTCGAGACAGGGTTTCTCTGTGTAGCCCTGGCTGTCCTGGAACTCACTCTGTAAACCAGGCTGGCCTTGAACTCAGAAATCCGCCTGCCTCTGCCTCCCAAGTGCTGGGATTAAAGGCGTGCGCCACCACTGCCCCAGCCTGCCTCAGTCTTTTAAGTGCTAAGATTATAAGTGTGAATCACTCACTAAGCCTGGGTTATTTACATAACCCTTTAAAAGGTTATACAGAACATCACAAATATCAACTTGTGTAGGAATTTAAAGAAACTAGGAAGGGAACTTGAGGCTTGCAGAAAACAAGCGTCAGCAATGGCAGTGGCACAGGCAAACCTTCTTGTACGCTCGTTGCTCCAGGACATCAGCTACCAGCTGCAGAAGCTGCTCTGACCTATGGCCACCCTCACAGGTCCAACGTCCCCACAGAAACCAGAAACTCAGGCAATTATGTCCTAAGTTGGCAGAGCACAAACATAGTGGTGAAGGCATAGGCAACAGAGGCCACACTGTGATCAGCTGTGTACCCAGGGCAAAGGTGCTGGCCACCTGGCCTCTGCTGCTGCCATCTCTCACAGCAAGAGCTTTCTACATACAACTGCAGCAGCCCCTTGTCCCTCTACTGCTAAGTGGGAGCTCTGTGAGATCACTCTATCTCATGGAAAAGACTGCCTGATTTTAAAGTGGCTCCTCATCAGAAAGCCTACTGTCACATTCCACAGGTGTGATCTTTCTTCTGGAGTCAGTGTCAGTTTCTGGCAAGCTTCCATCTAAGACTTAGCATGGTTATTGTCCCCAGGAATGAGAGCATCTCCTGATGTCAATGGAACCCCATGCTTATCAGGTGACCTTCCCTTGAGGCGTTATACAGCAGCAGAGGAAGGCAGTGGCCCACATGTGCACATGAGACTCTGCCCTGCGTGTAAGGAGTGAGGGCCTCTAGGTCACAACACTGCCTCTTCACCACCACTTTTTTGTTTGTTTGTTTGTTTGTTTGTTTGTTTTTGTTTTTCGAGACAGGGTTTCTCTCTGTAGCCCTGGCTGTCCTGGAACTCACTCTGTAGACCAGGCTAGCCTCGAACTCTCAAACTCAGAAATCCACCTGCCTCTGCCTCCCAAGTGCTGGGATTAAAGGTGTGCGCCACCACCGTGAGCACAACCATGTTTTCCTATCAGCTTATCCCCAGTTCAGCATGGCTCTGGCTGGGTGGTTCTGTACTGAGGCAGAAAGGAAAACATGACGTGGCCTGTATTTCGTACATGCCAGTTGGTAACAAGTGTGCAGCACAAGTCTCGTGGACAGTGCTTCCCTCTGCTAAGGTCAGCAGCACTTGGGCAGTGCCAAGCCCCACCCACCCAATGGGCAAAACTTACACTAAGGAATGATGATCACACTGATATAGGCTGTGTCCTCTGTAAGGATCCTAACATGTCCCTCATATCGTGAGAGGAAAAGGGAGCACTCCTGGTCCTACCTGAACTCCTTGGTGCTGCCCAGGGCAGGTGAGGCTGACAGGCTCCGAGACTTGGCCCGGCCCCGGATGGGGTGATTGTAGCTCCAGGTCTCATCCCCATGACATGCTGAGCAGTTGTAGGAGGCTGAGTCAGGACTCAGCTCCTTACTCAAGTTCATCTTTTCTTGTTCCATTTCCATAGTTGATATGAAAAAAACACTGGTGCCTTAATTTGATAAAAATAAAGCAAGTTACTTATATATGAGCAGCAATAACAAACATTCAGTGCTATCTAGGGAAATGTTAGGAGGTATGCTACCGGCTCTCACAAGAAGACCTTCACAACACGCCCTGTGGAAGGAGGGGGAAGATTCCTGAGCCCCTCCCCTCCCTGAAGGTATATAAACTCTGCCAGTTAGACTATAGTAGTACAGCTGTGGGAGGCACCCAGGCTCCTGTGAATAGCGTCAATAAATTCACTCCTGGACTTGGTTGGGACCATTTGTCACTGCTGTCTGTATCTGGGGAAAAAGAAAACAAGACTCCCTAAGAAAAATCACATGCAACAGTAAAAAAAAAAAAAAAAAGCCAGATTTCCATTTTTCAGAGTTTTCGAAAATAGGCTGCTTTCACCTTCAGAACTCTTCCTACTGTCATTTTTCTCCAGCTTTAGAGACTGAATCCAGGGTCCCACACATTCTAGCTATGTCCAAGATACAACCTCACTCCTCACCAGTGTTTCTGAACCTTCTAAAGATAATGGAGACTAAGGACAAAACAACCAAGGCAGAGTGTTAGTGTTTTCATCATGAGCCAAATCTGTCAGCTCCAGGCCAGCCAGGCTACAGTTAGACTCCGTCTTTAAAACAAAACAACAAAGAATGCTAGGTATGGTGAGAAAGCCCATGTATGAACCCAGGAGGCAGAGGCAGGGAAATCTCTTGAGTTTGAGGTCAGCCTGGTCTACAGAGAGAATTCCAGGGCATCCAGAGCTACAAACTTTGAAACCCCGTCTCCATAAACAAACAAACAAACAAACAAATAAACAAGACCAGCAGAGACAAGGAGAGCCCTTAAGAGCCCCAGTTCAAACAAGGCTACATTTTATCTGTCTCAAAAACAAAACAAATCAAAAAAGAGGAGGAAAAAGAAGAAACACGAAAAGAAGCAGAGTCTGGAGAGAAACTGTAATAAACTAGTTTCAGTTAAAGGACTGAAAGAACTGTGCCCTCTTTTCTTTCCTGTTGTTGTGATGTGACACTGACCAAAGGCAATGTGAGAGGCACAGACTGACTTAGTATACACACCCAGGTCACAATCCATCACTGAGGGAAGGCACGGCAGGAACCTGAAGAAAGCATGGAGGAAAGCTGCTCACTGGCTTGCTCTGGTGCTCAGACAGCTTCCTTAGATAACCACCTAAGAATACCTGCCTAGTTATGGTGCTACTCACAGTGGGCTGATACCTCCTACATCGATAATCAGGACAATCCTTCATGCATCCATAGACTAACCTGACGAGCCCTTTGAGACTAGGCTGTGTCAAGTTAATGCTAACTAGGACACACTGATAATTTTTTATTGAGGGGGGGTTGTTTTTGAGATAGGTCTCATGTAGTCCCAGCTAACCTTACACTTTAGTATGTTGATAAGGATGACCCTGCTGATTTTCCTGGGTACTGAGATTACAGGTGTTTACCCCATGCTGTGCTGCACTGAGAACCTTATCAAGGTGACTTTTTTTTTAAGAGGTTATTGTACATTTTTGGTTTTTCGAAACAGGGTTTCTCTGTATAGCCATGGCTTTCCTGGAACTCACTCTGTAGACCAGGCTGGCCTCGAACTCAGAAATCCACCTGCTTCTGCCTCCCAAGTGCTGGGATTAAAGGTGTGCGCCACCACCGCCTGGCAAGGTGACTTTTTAAAATGTCTTTTAAAAGATTTATTTTATTTTAGGTGTATATGTCTTACCTATATGTATGTGCACCATGTGTGTACCTAGTACTAGCAGAAGTCAGAAACAGGGCATTGGATCCCCTGGAACTGGACTGACAGAGGGTTAAACCACCTATCTGTAGCTGCTCCCAATCCTAAATTCAGGGGCTGGGCTTCTCTTCTCTTTTCTCAGCTTCTGATTCCTGCATATGAGCCATTTTGGTTACAAGCCCTCTTGGTCCTCTTGGCCATCTCTCTCTCCTTTTTTTCCTTCATCTCTCAGTCACCTCCTAGCCTTCTTACAGCCTGGTCTGTTCTGCTGGCCAAGTTCAGTTGGTACCCCTCCAGATGCCTCTGGCTGTTCTCTCCCTTACATTTACAATAAAATACTTCTCAACCACACCTTGGTGAGGTGTCCTCATTTTCATTCAATTTTGCAGCTCAGGCTGTCCTCTTACCTTCAGTGACCCTACTGCTTCTGGGTCCAAGTGCTGAGATCAAAAGTGTAAGGTGATTCTTGTCCCCGCCCCCTCCTGCCCAGATAGGGTTTTTCTGTGTAACAGCCGTGGAGGTCCTATAACTCTCTGTAGACTAGGCTGGCCTTGAACTGAACAGCCTCTGCACCGAGTGCTGGGATTAAAGGTGTGTGCTACTGTTGCCTGGTGTGAACTTTTTTTTTCTTACTTTAAAAGTGGGCCTGTGAGGTAAATGTGCATGCATGTGCAGGTGCCAGTAGGAGCCAGAAGGACTTGGATTCCCCAGAGCTGTAGTTAGTTACAAGTGACTATATGCTGCTTGGTGTGGGTGCTCGGAACCAAATTCTGGTCCTCTACAAGAGCAGCATTTGCTCTTAACTGCTGAGGCATTTCTCTAGCCTAAAGAGGATTTTAAAGAACCTTCAGAGAGCCAGGCGGTGATGGCGCACGCCTTTAATCCCAGCACTTGGGAGGCAGAGGCAGGCGGATTTCTGAGTTCGAGGCCAGCCTGGTCTACAGAGAGAGTTCCAGGACAGCCAGGACTACACAGAGAAACCTTGTCTTACTGTAGTGCATCTCTAGAACTCATGTTCTTTGAAGAAATGACACTACCTTGAGTTGAGTTTTGATGCAATCATGCTTACTTTTGCACCTGGGATTGTATTATAACAGGAAACGTTTTGCATATTATACTGGGCTTAAATAACATCAGGGAATAACTTGCCAGTTCTTACACTCCCTGGAGTCTGATCCAGGTCGACAAGTCAATCTGCCCCAGGTTTTCATTCTTACCTTTTCACGAGGGATGAGTGTGCACCAGCAGGGACTCTCTCCACCACTGAGCTATACCTACACAGCTGATTTAGTTACCCACACAGCACCTTGAACTTGTGATCTTCCTGCCTCAGCCTCTAAAGAAGCTTGGATAACAGGCCTACACCACCAGGCCCAGTGACATGCTTGAAGCAATCATGAACCCTTAATTACCACTGTGACTGTATTTAGAGAAGGGCTTCTGAGAAAATTAGTCATAGGGTGGGGCCCCGATGTTCATTAGTGCCTCCCTCCAACACACAGGGTTTCTCTGTGTAGCCCTGACTATCCTGGAACTTGCTCTGTAGATGAGGCTGGCCTCTGCCCACTCCCTGGTTCATTAGTACCTTTTAAAGAGGTATCAAAGGTCTCCCTCCACTTTCAGACCTGCTCACCATGAGCAGCACAGGAGTGCTAGGGAAGTGAGCTGAACTTCAGCCTCTAGGACTGTGAGAATGTGAATCTACTTTGAACCACCCAGTCTGTGATGCTTTGTTACAGTAGCACAGACAACTAACACCTGTGACCTTGGACAAGCCTATGGAGCCCATGCTAAGGTCAAAGGTGAGAGAATAGATATGGTTCTTGCCCTGGCTACAGTTTACAATCACCAGAAGAACTTTATCTTTTTTTTAAAGACAATTTCTGTGTCCCACCTACTGAAATCCAATAAATCAGAATAAGGACTGAGAGGCAGAGGCACAGGCAGGAGGAGGAGATGGTCACTGAAAATCTGAGGCCAGCTAGGTCTATGTAGCAAAGAAACAAAGGAACAAAACATCTGAGGCTGGTGGCATAGGCCTCCAATCCTAGCTATTTGAGAGGCAGAGGTAGGGCAATGACAGGTTCAAGACCTGCCTCGGCAACTTAAAAAAACTCTGTCTCAAAGTATAAAAAGGCTGAGGATCTGGCCCAGCAGCAGTGTGCTTATCTAAAACAAGGCTCACTGCTCGAGTCCAGTATTGAGCAACAGAACAGATGGTCCAGAAATAGACATCAATCACTGTTTGTGTGTATTGCGAGTACACAGCTATCCCTCTGAGACACAAGCTAGTCTAGCCTAAGAGTCTTGACAAAGGTGCTGAAGTAAGTCAATATAGAAAGAACCTTCATGTAGTGTTAAGCAGATGGATAGCCAGTCAAAAAGACTGAAAACTGAACTATTTCCTCTTACCACATACAAATAGTAAACCAAAACAGACTATAGGTGTGCAGGCTCAAACTGTCTTTTAGAAGTATTAGAAAAAAACAATCTTGGTGGCCTTTAAAATCTCTTCCTGTGTGTGTTGTTAGGGTATAAACCTAAGGGTTTATACTTGCTACATAAGTACTTTACTACTGAGTTATACTCCCAACCCATTATGTGTGTTTATTTTTTCCTTTTTTGGTTTTCACAACAGGCTTTCTGTGCAGCCCTGGCTTCCCTTGAACTCTGAGATCTGACTGGCCTGCCTCTAAAGCACTGGCACTAAGGCATGTGGCACCAAGGCCTCGCTTTTTTTCTTTTTTTAAATACAGGGTAGCACCCTGTAATCCAGTTTTGATCTTGTGATCCTCCTGTCCTCTTGTCCCTGCCTCCCTAGTAACTAGGACTATAGGTCTAAGCTGCCATGTTCATTTTACTTCTTGTATGACACTGTTAAGAAAATGAAAATACCAGGCAGTGGTGGCGCACGCCTTTAATCCCAGCACTTGGGAGGCAGAGGCAGGCTGATTTCTGAGTTTGAGGCCAGCCTGGTCTACAGAGTGAGTTCAAGCACAGCCATGGCTACACAGAGAAACCCTGTCTCTAAACAAACAAACAAACAAACAAAAACCCAAAAAGAAAGAAAGAAAAGAAAATGAAAATACATGCATATATTAACAGATTTTTTTTTTGAGGTAGGGCCTCAGTATATAGTTCTTCTTCCTCCCTCCATTTGCAGATGCCCAAGTCTTAGCCTCCAAGAGTTCAGTCCACTCCTAGACACTGACATTCAAGTGTGAGGATCTGAGTTCAATC